ATTGTTTTTCTCCTTGTCTATGGCTCATCCATTCATTTTCTCCATGGTCCCTTAAGATAGACCAAAGAAGTTTTTCACTTTGTTGCTGTTCAATTACATTTTTGTACTCTTTATGTTTGCTGTTGTTGAGTGACTGATGGGGACCTTAGACAACAGAGTAGAACTACCCTTAAGAGTTCCTAAAATGTGGTCTTTATGGGAGCAACTGCCAGATCTTTCTCCCAAGGAGCTTCAGCTGGGTTCAAACCATGGACCTTGCTGTCAGGAGCCAAGTGCTTAGTCCCTGGGACCATGGGTCCTTCTATGGTGTTTAGTGATTTGTGTTTGTAGTGCTGTATTCTGAACATTTCTAATCCAGAACTATAACCTGTTAATATTCCCAATAAGCCCCATAATCATGAGTATTGCCAGTGGGTTTTTCTGTGGTCATTGCCATGAGCTATCAAACTGACTGAGAAAGAGTGCTGTGGAAGCGACGGTTGATAGCAGAATCGGTAAGGAACATTGGAGAGTGGAGGCCTATCCAACCTCCACTCGGGAATTGGCCTCAGACTGATGCTTTTGATTCTCCTCCCCCTTGTGGAGTCAGAGGATGTCAGTCACTCTCCCAATCCTTCTGCACTATGTTCTTAAGAGCATCCTTAAAAAACAAATTTTTTTTAAAAAGCATTCTTTAAAGTATGGTGTGGTGTTTGTTATTTTTGTTTTATCTTGGCAGGCAATTAATTTACTGAAGGAGCAGGTGTATTTAGCCAAGCCTTTGTTTCCAGGCTCTGTCTCAAGTTCTCAGAGTAGCATTGTATAGGTATGCCTGTATTTTGTTCGTAACTCCAAATAACACTGTTACGCATTGGGCTATTAGCCACAGAGTCAGTAGTTTGAACCCACCGGCAGCTCCATAGGAGAAAGACCAGGCTCTCTGCATCTATAAAGATTTACAGTCTTGGAAACCAAAGGACAGTTCTATTCCATGCAATAGGTTCGCTATGAGTTGGAATAGACTGGACACCAAGAGAATTCTTTTTCTTTTTTCAATTATTATCCCCACTGTCTAGATGAGAAGACTAAGGTATACAGAGGTTAAGCAACTTGCTGACGTCCTCCAAGTAGCAAGTCATGCATTTGAAGCCATGCAGTCTAGCTCCATAGCCTGCACACTTACCCACTGTGCTGGCCTGCCTCTCCCTCCCTTCCCTGAGGGTTTGTCATTAGCCAGGGACAAATGGTGAGGTGTGGAGTGCCCAGCATCACACTGCCAGCGAGACAGGGGTCTTCAGACCACAGATCTCTTTCCAGGCCCTGAACTCTGACTCAGCAGTCCCAGCTCATTCCAATCAACAAACCCTGGAGGCATCACGGAGAGTCAGCTGCTGAGAAAGGGGCACAGAGGGAGGTGGAGGCTGTGACAGAAAAGAGTGGTTTCTAGGATGAAGGACTGAAATGGGCAATAGGAAAAAGAGGCCGTATTCTAGGGAAACTGTGGGAGTGACCCTGGTGGGGAGACTCGGGAAGGGAAGGGAAGGGAAGGGAACAGAGCATTAGGGGCTTGGGCAGGTGAAAGAATGGGCCAGCCAGGCCCCAGGAGCGTGGAGAAAGTCATTCGGGAAGGACAGGAGAGCGCCGCGGTTGTGAATGTCTACAATAGATGCTTCAGCACCAGGCCAGAAGCGGTAGGAGCAGCATGCACGAGGACCCCAGGTAGAAGAGTTTGGGATGGGGAACATTTCCCTGAAGTGGCAACCTTGAGAGAGGTGGGTAATAAGCACTCCATAAATGTTTGTTCCAAATAAAGCAGACAGAAGAGAGGAAAACCTGGGGATTGCTTTCATAAAGAGAAAGACACCCAAGGGGGTAGGTGCTCAGTCAATACTATTTTTTTATCCGAGTACAGTAAGAAGCCTGGGGAGTTGTCAACGATGATCCGCTACGTTCCAAAGAGCCTTCACCCTCTGATTTCAATGCTGGAAAACTCCTCAGGGAGGCTGTGGAATCTCTCACTGGGGAGTTTTGAGAAAACATTCTTAAATCCGCCACGCCACTCCGAGGGAGTGGTGCACAAGATCTGAAAACGGAAAGATTGAGGACCTGGGCTGAAGAACCCCAAGCATCCCCTCAGAGCATCCCCTCCAGAGCGGCAGTATCCCCTCGGCCTCGACCCGGGAACAGACGCTGCTGTGCCACCAGGCTGAAGATGGCTGCGTCATCTGCATCTCTTCCCACTGCCGGGTCTGGATAAATTGTAGCCCATTGATTCCATGAAGAAATAAAGCCGCAGAGATCCCTGTTCGGACATGCGCACGGAACACAGGACAAGACGCTCAGGAGATGATTTGTTCAGGATTTGCTTTAAAAGGAGCCAGGCAGTGCTCATTTATTTGGGAGAAAATATATGATTAACCGTAGTTAACTATGAATTTAGATGCTGTGCATTAGACCAGCTCCTCAAAGTTTGAGAGCATTTAATATTATATATCGCTGCCATTTGGACTAAATTGTTTTTTTAATGTACACAATATTACAAATTTAATTTGAGCTGTTTGAATCAGTCTGTAAAAAAGATTTGATTATACCTGAGTGTTCTGGCCCTGGCTTTTCCATATCTCAGTAATCTTGGCGGTAATTGGCTGATTAGGCGTCTCACACTCCATCTCTGCCTCAGTTTCCATGGTAATGTTACAGGAGCTATTATAGATGAGAACTTCATCTCTTTCCACTTTAGGGCTGAAACGAGAGGGGAGGTTAAATGGGGTGTCATCAATCTTAATGAAATGCAATTATTTTTGCTCTTATTAATCATTGCAAGCCATTAGCTTGTGGCAACTACAGGCCACCATTTGTCAAATTTTGCAAATTTCTGTAATTTTGTTTCCATTCTTTTATTGTTTATTTGTTTTCCCTTTATCTGTACACCCTGCAATGAAAATGCACGTGGTAAATATATTTCACGGGGGGCCTTTCCCTTTGCCAAATCGATTAGGAACATTAGTAAGAGCCTCCCCAAGCCCAACTAAACACGCAAAGCCCAGTGCTTCCAGTTCTTAACATGGAAGAAAATGTTGAGGAGCGATGGTTTTGGGGTTTGGTTGGTTTTCTATCTCTCTTCCTTTCTGTCTATCCCCCTTCCCTCTGCCTGGGCGTACCCACACTTGGTTCTGGGGGAGTGAATTGCCTGAATCCCCCCAGGGCAGATGGAGAAATTGGAAAACCCACACAACTGGCTAACTGGTCCCTAATTCCAACTGTGAAAAAATGAGCTCATTTAGGCTTTCAATTCCCTCTCCCCAGCTGATGGCAATGAGGCTCTGTTGCTAGCAGTGGAACATTAACTTAGTAAATTAATTAAACTTACTTAACAGCCCAGACTAAGGAGATTCGATATATGTGCCAGTTATACTACCAGCCACTTGCTTTAAAAGTCTTCTGGCTTTAAAGAGAGAAGCCAGACTGAATTCAAAATGAAAAACAGCAGTGGAGCATTACAGAAAGTCTAAAAATATGCAGTCTAGAGAAGGTGAGAGCCGAGATGCTAAAGGCTACTGTCCCCAACAGGTGTGATATTCATTCACAAATAACCCTAACTTCAGGCATTGCTATAACTAATTAATTATTAGTAAAAACGGTTCGATTCCAACTCATAGAGACCCTGTGCACATCAGAAGGAAACCCTGTCTGGCCCTGCCCATCCTCACAATCGTCCCCATGCTTGAGCCCATTGTCGCAGCCACTACATCTGTCCATCTCCTTGGGCACGGTCCTTTTTGCTGACTGGGTACTTTAGCAAGCATGGTCTCCTTCTACAGGGATAGTCCCTCCTGATGCCATGCCCCGGGGCCCAGCATCCTCTGTCTAAGAACATTCTGACTGGCTTCCTCCAAAACAGACATTCGATTTTCTGGCAGTCGATGGTATGTTTAATAGTCACCACCAGCACTATACCTCAGTTCTTCCTTGGCCTCCCTGACTCGTTGTCCAGCTTCACGTACATATGAAGCCGTTGACAACACCATGGATTGAGTCAGCACACCGTCATCATCAAGGCGATATGGATATGTTTGCTTTCTAAGACTTTATAGAAGTCTTTTGCAGCAGATTCACCCGTGGTTACCTATCGGTTCTGTTTTGTGGATGTTTCCTTTTTGCTTTCCTCGGGTGCAATGCAGACTGAAGGCCGGAGCCTCTGCTCTTATCAGTACGTGTTTCAGTTAACTTGTCTTTCAGCAACACAAATGCATCATTTGCAGAGACATTAATGAGCGCTCCTCCCCAGCCCAACACCAAATGATTTTTCATATAGCCCAGTTTTTCTTAGGTTATTTTCTCAGCATATCGATTGAATGAGTTTTGCAAAATGATACAACCTGATGAACATCTTTCTTGATTTTAGACTGTAGAGGATCCCTTTGCTCAGCTTGTAAGACTGTCTTGGTCTAGGTACAGGTTCCCCATTAGCACACTTCATGCTATGGAATGCTCATGCTTTACAATGTTATCCATAATTGGTTATGATCCACAGAGTTGAATGCCTTTGCACAGCAATGAAACACGGGCAAACATCTTTCTGGTATACCCTGCTTTCGGCCAAGCTCCATCTGCCACCAGCAATTATATTCCTCATTCCACATGCTCTTCTGAATCTGGCTTGAGTGTTTTATAGTTCCTTGTTAATGAAACATCTCCAGCACACTTTATGTGAATAGTGTACTAATCACGTTGCTCAATAATTTCCATATTGTGCTGAACCACCTTCCTTTAGAACAGGAAAGTATATAAACCTCTTACTTTTGAGAAGCTAGGTTGTCTTATAATCGCTTGGCATAGATAAGTTAATCATTCAATGTTGCTGCTGTTTGTTTAAACATCTCAATTGGTACCTCATTGGTTTTAAGTTCACCAATGTCTTCAGTGTAGTTCAAACTTCTTTCTTCAGTGTGTCAACACAGAATTCAGGAACAGGAATGGGAGTGGTGATACAGGAGGGCAGGGGGAAGATGGGGAGAGGAGAAGAGGCAAGTGGGGGCGGGGGTGTGTGTGTCAATCACAATGATGGACACATAACCACCACCACCACCCCACCCCAGGTGGACAAACAACAGAAACCATGAGGGAAAGGGAGACAGCGGCCAGTGTAATATGTGAAAATAATAATAATTTATGATTTATGAAGTGTCAGGAGAGTGGGAGGGGGAGGGAGGGAAAAAAGAGCAGCTGATACCAAGAGCTCAAATAGAAAGTAAATGTTTAGAAAATAATGATGGCAACATAGATACAAATATGCTTGGTACAATTGATCTATGGATTGTTATAAGAGCTGTAAGAGGCCCCAATGAAATGATCTTTTAATAAAACGCAAAACAAAACTTTTTCCTTCAGCACCCTTAGTTCTTGATTGCATGCTACTTGGGTGAACATTAACCAGTTATTTTGATGCATTGATTGTGTCTTTCTTCCATTTTCTTTTGATGCTTCCTGCATTGTTCAGTACGTTTCCCATTGAGTCTTGCATTATTGCAACCTGGGGCTTAAATTTTTTCTTCAGTTCTAGCTTGAGAAATGCTGAGCAAGCTCTTCCTTTTTGGTTCTAACTTCAGGTCTTTGTAGGGTTCGCTCCTATGTAATATTTTACTTCATCTTCTTGAGCCACTTTTTGAAATGTTCTGTTCAGCTCTTTTACTTCATCATTTTTTCCAGTTGTTCTAAGGATGCTCCATTCAAGAGCAAGATTTAGAGCAGTGTTTCCTAAAGCAAGTCATACTTCCCTTGGGCTGTGAGTTGGGGGCAGTGAAATGATCCAGGGATACTGCAAAAGCAGGTGCACGTGCTGCATGCTGGAGTGTAGACCATAACAGAAGCTTGAAATGGCCCAGAGGCACTGAGTAATTTTTATTTTCTGAAAACAGGGTTTTCATCCACGTGTAGTGAGTTAGTTAATTGTGCCAACCTGGCTGATAAACACGTGGGATTAATTGAAGGGTGGAGGGATAAATGGCTCGGTGAGCCTCGCCTTTCTAGTGCCATGGGTCTTTTGCTTTCTGATCATTGGACCAGGGTGCAGCTGCCTTAGCCAGTTCCCTGCTTCAGCTGGCAAGGCTCACTTCCTACAAGACATCCCTGAGGAGAAGATGCATGGACCTACCCTGATGCAGCCCTGGGTGCTGGAGTAGCCCTGTGGAGACCCCTGCCAGCGCTGAGATGATTACCCTTTCACTGACTTGGATTTCCTCCTACAGTCGGCATCATTGTGTGTGTTTTGTGAGATGGAGGAGGACTTTGTGGATTGGTGTCAGACATATAGGTTAATGGGTTAATGTTGGACTTGTGGGCTTGGGCAGCACTGGGTTGAGATATTTTCTTCATGCGCACTTAACCTTTACATAAAACTCTCTCTTATACATGAGTTGCTGTGGATTTGTTTCTCTAAAGTACCCAGACTAATACAGGTAGGTATATTATAATAGCCATCATAATTAGCAATGTTTTATTGTTTCCCACAATTTTATAAAAATGATCTCATTTTGGTCTGTAAATTAGGTAGACTAAATAAGTTTGGAAACCTACGATTCAGAGATTTCTGACATTGATTTTGGCCTTTATTATTTCTTCTCTCTTATTTTAATTACCTTTATTTTATTCATGCATGATGCCCTGATGTTGTTCTACAGCTCATCTGGTCTTAAGCCATTTATAGTCAGTGTGTCAAATAAAATCAGGGAGGATACACTGAAGATCATACTTTGGCTCTCAGAACATGACTCAATTTTCTTCAGCTTCAACTTGAATGTGCATATGATCAAATAATGGCTTGTTCCTCAGTCAACCCCTAGTCTTGATCAGATTGATGACATTGAGCTTGTCCATGGTATCTTCACAAAGTATGTATTTCAACTGGTGAGGTCCATGTGTGTAGTCATCATTTATGTTGTCAAAAATATTTCCAGTGAATAGGTCATTGGTCTTGCAAAGTTGTATTGTCCCATCTCCAAGATCATTTCTATCACCAGGGTGTGATTTCCAATGAATGATCCTTCTTTTTTCTCAACAGCGGCATTTCCATAAATAGTAATTATAAGAGCATCTTAACTGTTTGTCTTATCAATTTCAGACTGCCAAAGTTGACAACAGTCTTTAATTTTTCCATCATTGGCATTTGTGGCTGGGGTGAATTTGAATAATGGTTGTTCAACTATTCTTACTTGTAGATGTATGCATATTTTCCCATCACTGGTAGCACTTCTTTTGATCTTGCACTGTTCTTTTTGACAATGAATATGAGGCCATTCCTCTTCAATTTGTTATTCCCAGCATGGACCACATGATCATTGCAATCAATATTGCCAGTAGTGTCCATATTAGTTCACTAATGCATATATTTCTTTTCTGCATTCCATTTTATTATTTTTTATTTTTTAAATCATTTTATTGGGGGCTAGTACAATTCTTATCACAATTCATACATACATCCATTGTGTCAAGCACATATGTACATTTGTTGCCATCATCATTCTCAAAACATTTGCCTTCTCCTTGAGCCCTTAATAT